TTGCTACGCCGCTCACCAGCTTAACATCTGGCCACGCTCCCAGCATCCGCAGGTTTTGCCGACCCTTCTTTGGATAGGGTTCCCTGGTGACACGTCTACGTTCCACGTCTGGGGCTGCCTCGCTCACGTTCGTGCCTCCGGCACTGTCCCCTGTGTCTTCCTCATCCGACTGGCACTTTTACCACCCGCCGTCTCACCGTTTCTTTCACTCCCGCCACTTTCAACTGTCTGTCTCCTTTTACCACCGCTTTCCCAACTGAGGTCTCCCATTTCCCCCCCTTGTTTCTGGTTCCCACTCCCCCGGTCGCCCCTGCTCCCCTCCCTCCCCGTCCTGCTCCGTCTGGTGTGTCTCACATGACTCCCCTCCTGTCGGTTGCCTCGGTCGAGGAGTCGGCTGACACTGGTGGCCCAACGGCACAGATTTTGACGCCTGTCCTTCCCCTGGTCTTTCCTCCTCCCCCGTCGCCGTTGCCGCCGCAGCAGCCGCAGCCGTTCGTGAACTCTGGGGGTGCTGGCGTTGAGGAGGGTGCTAGTCCTAGGGTTGCTGTCGTGGCTTGTCCCGTCGGGCTCGTGGGTGGCATCGGTGCTAGAGAGGGTTCTGACTCTTGGGGTGCTGGAGTGGAGTGTTTCAAAGGTGACCGTGGTGCAGCTGGTGGACCAGGTGCCAGCGTCGAGCAGCACCCGCAGTCGCCTCCGGTGTCCGCCCTTCGCCAGCTCGGCCTTCCCTCTCCCGACCGCTCGCTTGCACCTTCCCCGCCGCCTCTTCCACTTCCCATCCACGGTCATGTGTTTTCTCCGCCGGACTCGTCCCTGGCCCGTTTCACCCCTCATTCTCCTCTTGTTACTCCTCCTCTGTCTCCTGACCAGACGCCTCTATCTCACGTCTAGTCTCGTCGTCCCTCTCCTGCTCGTCCTGTCCCTCCTGTTCAGCGTTCGCACCCCATGTTGCTTCGTTCCCACGCGTCTTGCCTCCTTTCCTGCCTTCGCCTCCTCCATCTTCACTCGCTGTTGCGCCTCCCCCTCTGTCCGACTACCTTCGTGCTTGTCCCTAGGGTCCTTGCCTCCCTCGTTACCGACCCGTCTATTCCTGTCTCAAGTCTTGACGCTCTTTTTGCTGTTGTCGCTGACTTCACCTCTACCCGCTGCCTTGACTACGCCACCGCTCTGGTCTCTGACCCTGCCCGTCCTCTGTACGTCGAGGGTGCTCCTGCCCTTGGCAGTGATGTCGTAGAGGATAGGCAGTATGAGCTTGCTTTCTTGTCCGAGGCTGCTCCCCATCTCTGTTCCATGATGCTAGTCCCTGAGGGTAACCCGGACGCCTGTGACTTTCCGACCGCTCGCAACTACGATGAGGCGACCTCAGGACCTTGGGCCTCTCAATGGATAGCTTCCATGGAACAGGAGATGGCATCTTGGAGATCCCCAAGCACCTACGTCGACGATGTTCCCCTACCTGGTGTGGACGTAGTCGATGGCCGGTGGCTCTTCAAGGTGAAGCGCCCCCCTGGAGAGCCGCCGGTGTTCAAGGCGCGCTACGTGGCTAGAGGCTTCAGTCAGCGAGAGGGGATGGACTTCTTTCAAACCTTCGCCCCGACCCCGAAGATGACTACTCTTCGGGTGCTGCTACACGTAGCAGCACAGCGTGACTACGAGCTTCACTCCCTCGACTTCTCCACTGCGTTTCTTCAGGGCAGCCTGCACGAGCAGGTCAACCTGCGCCGTCCTCAGGGCTTCACCGGTACCTTCCCTCCTGGGACCCAATGGCTCCTCCGGCACTCGGTCTACGGCCTGCGATAGGCACCCCATGAGTGGCACGACACGTTGCGTGCTACACTAGCTGGCCTGCAGTTCTTTCCGTCCGCTGCAGACCCTTCGCTCTTCATTTGTGCTGGCCAGACTCCGTTCTACATTCTTGACTACATAGACGACCTGGTTTTCGCTACTGCAAAAAGAGTTGCACTGGCCTCTGTGAAGGCCGAGCTGCTAAGGAGACACACCTGCACTGACCTAGGAGAGCTGTGTCGCTACCTTGGCCTGCAGATCTCTAGGGACAGAGCAGCGCGCACCATCACTCTTACACAGTCACACTTGGTGCGTCAGGTCCTTCAGAGGTTGGGTCTTCAGTTCTCCTCCGCACAGCCCACACTTCTGCCAGTAGACCACAGGCTCTCAGCTCCAGTTCCCGAGGAGTCAGCAGAGCGCATCGGTCCTTACGCAGAGCTGGTTGGTTGCCTCATGTACCTGATGACTTGGACTCGTCCAGATCTTGCATACCCTCTCAGCATCCTGGCTCGCTTTGTGGCCACAAGCAGACACCGACCACAGCACTGGTCGGCCACTAAGAGGGTTTTGCGTTATCGTGCAAGTACATCGGGCATGGGGCTAGTGCTGGAGGACGCAGGCCAATGGTCCTTACCGGACACACAGACGCTTCTTGGGCAGACGACGCTGAGACCCTCAGGTCCTCCCAGGCTACTGCTTTAGCCTTGGTTCTGGTGCC